CTTAACAGCTGTGTGTGCATGAACTACACACGGCACAGGGATAGAGGCTGTGCAAACGAGGCGGTGCACGGACATCTCCGTGTGTAGCAAAGTCGCTACGCTAAAGGGTTTTTCTATTTGATAAACAATCAAATGTTTTGACATGAGAATGCGACGTGAACAAGATACGTTTTTCTCCCCGACATTTTCAAAACGAAATGGCGTTGACGCGTCAAACACCTGAAATAATTTTTTCTTGACGGATTCAGTTGTCGGTTTTCATTAAAGTGTAATGACAGGGTGACACCTGGTGATGTCACAGGGTGGGTCAGTTGGTGGGTGAGTGGGTGGGTGGGTGAGTGGGTGGGTGAGTTGGTGAGTGGGTGAGTGAGTTGATGAGTGGGTGGTTGAGTGGGTGGGTGAGTTGGTGGGTGAGTTGGTGGGTGAGTTGGTGAGTGGATTGGTCAGTTGGTGAGTGGATGGGTGAGTGGGTGGGTGAGTGGGTGGTTGAGTTGGTGAGTGGGTGGGTGAGTTGATGAGTGGGTGGGTGAGTTGGTGAGTGGGTGGGTGAGTTGATGAGTGGGTGGGTGAGTTGGTGAGTGGATGGGTCAGTTGGTGAGTGGGTGGGTGAGTTGGTGAGTGGGTGGGTGAGTGGGTGGGTGAGTTGGTGAGTGGGTGAGTGAGTTGATGAGTGGGTGGGTGGGTACGGGTAGGCCGTGAGTCACTGGTGAGTCATCGTTTGTCACTCATTTCCCAACGTCTTGTCTCTTCTCACAATTCAAGTTCCTAGAATCAACCCACCCGCGCCTGCAACGTGGCTTCATCCCAGAGGTCGCAATCGGGTACCTGATACTCGTACCCTACCCGATACCCGGCTGGGTACGGGTAGCCGGGTATCGGGTAGGGTACAGGTACAGCTACCCGTTTGCGACCTCTGGCGTGCCGGCAACGTGAACATGTCGAGTGAGCGGCCGGGCAATTTGCAGTTTGACGGTGAACACCGCAACGGACGTGAGGTTCAGAGCGAACGCCAAGCGGTAGGACACCGTCCGCGGTCTGACGAACGCCGCCGCGATAGTCACGCGGCACTACGGATACGCCGAGAGGTTCTGGACGGGGCGGCCGGGAGGCGACGTCGCGACGGGGGCCGGGCCCCCCACCCTCGGCGGGTTCGCATCGCTGATGATTTCGTAGAGGAGCTCGCTCGCAACTTCGCGCGCTCCCTCCACGCTGGAGCTCAGGACCGCGGGGAAGAAGCCGCCGCCTTCCCGCATCATCCCGGGAATGAAGACCTTGTAGAGGAGGCCCAGGGGCTCGCCCGGCTCCACGTGCGCGTGCAGCTGGAAGGTCGCCCAGCCGACGCCGAAGCTCCGTAGCAGCAGCTGCAGACGTGTCTCCCACGACAAGATGGCCGCCTCCGGCAGCGCCTCGAGACCGATGGGCACGGGATGCGGGTGGTGAGGTGCCCGTCGCAGCCGCGTGAGCGCCGCCCAGCCCACAAACAGGCTGCTGCGCAAGGCCTTGTCGGCGCCGGTGCACTCCGGCACCGCCACCGCCACCTCCTCCTCGTCTTCCGTTGCCACCGCTGCCACCGCGGCCGCCGCCGCCGCCGTGTCCACCTCCGGGATGGCCCAGTCCAACTTGACGGTGCGGCCCCAGAGCTGGAAAGGAATTTGAAGCAGCTTCTTCCGTGCAAGGACGGCCGCGCGATGGCTCTCGTATTCGACGAGCGCGTAGCCTCGGTCGGGGCTTCTGTCGTAGCGACAGAAGCGCGTCTTGACGTCCACGACGCCCTCCGTGACGCCGCTCATCGCCGCCATCACCTGCGCCCGCGTCTTGTCCTTCGGCAGCCCCCCGACGAAGAGGCGGCGGTTGTCGACGCTCACGCGAACCGTGATGCGGTGCCCGGGACGGATCTCCAAGTCGTGGAGTCTCCTGACGGCGTCCGCGGCTTGGGAGCGCGTCGCGAAGGTGGCGAACCCGTAGCCGCGGTTCTCTCCGCGGTACGTCGTCATGACGCGCAGCTGGTACAGCTTCCCCACCGCCTCCAGCACGGGCACCAGCTCGTCCTCGTACAGGTCGCGCGGGATCCTCGCCACGAACACCTCGCAGCCGCGGGTGGGAGGGGGGCCCTGCCAGTCGGGCGGCGGTCCCAGCTTCCTCTGTCCGTTCTCCTGCACGACGTTGTAGCCCGTGCGCAACACGAGGTCCAGAAGGTCCCTCTCCACGCAGCTCATGATGTCGAGCATCGGCGCTTTGTCCACGGCGGCGGTGACGACGGGGCAGCGGTTTGGGGCCCGTTGGAGCCCTTGACACTCACCGGCGCAGAAGCCTCGTGCCGACAAAGCCACGGCGGGGGGCGGAATCAACTCGTGAAAAGGCGGGAACTCGCTCGGGCCAAGCCTACAGGCCCAGCAGTGGAGAGAGGAAGAGAGAGTGGAGAGACGGATGGAGAGAGAGCTACCTTTGTAAACTCGGAAAATCACAATAAAATAGAAACCCAAGAAACTGTGTCTTGACCTTTGAACTGCCCTGTATAATGACCCCTCACCCCCAGTAGACGACCTGGTACCCCTCCTCACTCATCCACTCACTGACCCATCCACGCACCTCACACACCCAGTCGCTCACACACTCACCCACCCACTCACCCGCACACCCACTCGCTCACACACTCACCCACTAACTCACCCGCACACCCACTCGCTCACACACCCACCCACTCACCTCACCCACTCACCTCACCCACTCACCTCACCCACTCACCTCACCCACTCACTGATGATGATGAGAGAGAGAGACACGCAAACTCCAAATATACAGCAGTTGGCGTCGCCAGGGTCGGGATCGAACCCACGACCTCCTGTATACCAGGCGAGGTAGTTAACATCTCCTAGCCACCGTGATGATGATGAGAGAGACACACAAACTCCAAATATACAGCAAGAATCTTCAGTATCGGGATCAAACCCACGACCTCCTGCATACCAGGCGAGGTAGTTAACATCTCCTAGCCACCGTGATGATGATGAGAGAGACACACAAACTCCAAATATACAGCAAGAATCTTCAGTATCGGGATCAAACCCACGACCTCCTGCATACCAGGCGAGGGAGTTAACATCTCCTAGCCACCGTGATGATGAGAGAGAGACACAAACTCCAACTCCAAATTAAGTTTGAATGTTTGCGTGTCGTTAAACCGGCCATCAGCCGACAGCCAATTCGCAAGGTTTATCACGTGACATACCGTGCCAATCTGTCACTGGAGCAGCACTAACCGGTTGTGTGTTGGAGTGTCTGTGTGTACACTGTGTGTGTGTACACTGTGTGTCTGTGTGTACACTGTGTATGTGTGTCTGTGTGTGTGTACACTGTGTGTCTGTGTGTGCACTGTGTGTGTGTGTACACTCTGTGTGTGTGTACACTGTGTGTCTGTGTGTACACTGTGTGTGTGTACACACTGTGTGTGTCTGTGTGTGTACACTGTGTATGTGTGTCTGTGTGTACACTGGGTATGTGTGTCTGTGTGTGCACTGTGTGTGTGTACACTCTGTGTGTGTGTCTGTGTGTGTGTACAATGTGTGTCTGTGTGTACAATGTGTGTGTGTACAATGTGTGTGTGTGTACACTGTGTGTGTACAATGTGTGTGTGTGTACACTGTGTGTGTGTACAATGTGTGTGTGTGTACACTGTGTGTGTGTACACTGTGTGTGTGTCTGTGTGTGTACAGCGTGTGTGTGTACACTGTGTGTGTGTACACTGTGTGTGTGTCTGTGTGTGTACAATGTGTGTGTGTACACTGTGTGTGTGTAGTGTGTGTACACTGTGTGTGTGTACACTGTGTGTGTACAATGTGTGTGTGTGTACACTGTATGTGTACACTGTGTGTGTGTACAATGTGTGTGTGTGTACACTGTGTGTGTGTACACTGTGTGTGTGTACACTGTGTACACTGTGTGTGTGTGTACACTGTGTGTGTGTGTGTTCACCACGCCCGGCGGACCCGTTATTCGATCCCGACTCCTGCCGGGGGAGGCGCTCCAGGCGCGGCGGGTCCGCTAGGAAAACTCGGGATGGCCCGAGGCCGACTAGGCCGCAGTCTTCCCTCCCCTCTGTTCTAGATGGTGACGGTGTTGCTGATGTTGTTGTTGATGTTGCTGATGCTGATGATGTTTTTGTTGTTGATGTTGTTGTTGATGTTGCTGATGTTGTTGATGATGTTGTTGATGTTGATGCTGATGTTGTTGTTGTCGATGCTGATGATGTTGTTGTTGTTGATGTTGTTGTTGATGTTGCTGATGTTGTTGATGATGTTGTTGATGCTGATGTTGTTGTTGTCGATGCTGATGATGATGTTGTTGATGATGTTGTTGATGCTGATGATGTTGTTGTTTTTGCTGCTGATGATGATGATGTTGCTGATGTTGTTGTTGTTGTTGATGCTGATGATGTTGTTGATGTTGATGCTGTTGTTGTTGTTGATGCTGATGATGTTGTTGTTGATGTTGATGCTGTTGATGTTGATGCTGTTGATGTTGTTGTTGTTGATGCTGATGATGTTGTTGTTGATGTTGCTGATGATGTTGTTGTTGATGCTGCTGATGATGATGTTGTTGCTGCTGATGCTAGGGGTGGTGATGATGTTGCTGATGATGGTGTAGATGATGTTATTAATGATGTTGCTGATGATGTTGCTGCTGCTGATGTTGTTGTTGTTGATGCTGATGATGCTGCTGATGATGTTGATGTTGTTGTATATGATGGTGTAAATGATGTTTATTGATAATGTTGATGATCGCAAACATCAACATAATTTATTAATTTATTCAGTTAGGGTAGCCTCTCATTGTGGGAGGGGAGGGTCTTGTACCCCAGAAAGTGACGTCATGTCATCTGCTGCCGCGTGACGTCATGTCATCTGCTGCCGCGTGACGTCACGTCATCTGCAGCCGCGTGACGTCATCTGCTGCCGCGTGACGTCACGAGCTAACAGGAAGCTGGAGGTCCGCGCGTGAACTGCAATCCGAGGTGAGAAATTCTCATCGTCGTGGTGGTTGTGGTTGTTGTGGTTGTTGTTGTGGTTGTTGTTGTGGTTGTTGTTGTTTACCAAGCTAGAGCCTCGCTCTCTCTCTCGTAGGGATGTCACTAGAGCAGCAGCAGCAGCTTGTGAATCGATGTCCAAGTTGGAACTTTACAACGCGGGGCCTAGACACGCGGGGCCTTGCCTCCTGCCCTCGCCTGGTCGCGTTTGCTTTAATTCCCTCCCTTAAGTTTAATTTGTCTTCACGCGGCTCGCTACTTTGTCACTTTGGTTTATTGTAGATATTAACGCAGTTTTTTTTTTCGTTTTTTTACCAGCCCAAGCCCGCTTGAGCTGCTGTACCGCTCTTGTTTACAGAAGCTACCTGCCCACGACACAAGGTGGGTTTTGTCAACGCGTGTCTCGGTGTTTTGACTTAAAACTTTAGTAATTGCAGCAATTCATATTCTTGGTTCTTTCGGTAAAGTCACGGAGATTAAAAAGAATAACAGATAATAATGTTAAATAAAATAAAAAAAATTGCAAATAAAGAATAAACCCACCACGTTTCGATCGCAACACAAGTGGTCTTTTTTTAATTTAATTTCATGATCTGTTATTTTTATTTCCTATCTACGTGACTTTACCGAAAGAACCAAGACTACGCGTGTCAATGTCTGTCTGTCAAAGACGCTGATGTTGAATGTGGAGGGGAAAACCGGGGCGGGGTGTCTGGTGTAAACTCCACACCACCACCGGTTTACCATGGCACTGTGTGTGACAGTGTCAAGTTTGTGTTTGCAGTAAAGTCTATCAGTGTGTGACAGTGTAAAGATGGTGTGTGACAATGTAAAGTATATTAACTCTGATGAACACGGAGGTTGTAACAAAACAATAGTTTATTTTAGTTTTCCTCTGGAACTCTTTATAAGAGTGGAAACAGGAAGTTAGCACAGCACACACACGTGCAGCAGCTGACGTCAGATCTGTTCATCCCATCATTCAAGGACATCTGAGCCTGGCTTCACACCGCTAAGTTGCGATTGAACAACATTCCTGCTGCTGCGGAGGGAGCTGCTAGGAACGTCGGGTTGCTCGGTCAATGGCCTGCAGGGTCAACGGCGGCGTGGTGTATTCCGCAAATATGCCCGACTGTGAGGGCGGGCACAAGCCGGCGTGAGTAGGTGAAACGTTGAGTTTTATAAGGGCACCACGGGGTGACCAGCCCCTCCCCACCCAGCCCCTTTCTTCCCACCCCCCACCCAGCCCCACCCTCCCCACCCAGCCCCACCCCTCCCACCACCACCCAGCCTCACCCAGCCCCTCCCCACCCAGCCCCTCCCTTCACGACGGACACAACAATCCCCTGTGGGCTGGTGTAACCAGGAGGTTCCTACCAGTATTAATTTACACATTTCTGCATAACACAAATAGGATTGTTTCCAACACCCTTTGCTATGTCAGCCGAATTTAGCTCTTATAAATATTTCTTTTTTAGCCAGACAGCCGAAATTGTGTGCTCGGAGTTTTGGGTTCACATTCATTTTGAAGATGCGAGGGCTTCCAGGCATATTAATGACCATTTAGTCTCTCATTGTGTGCAATAACAGCCCGTGTGATGAATTTGGTAAACTGTTTCACTATATCATGCATATATGAATAAGTATAGACGTGTAAGTCACGTGTGACTGTGTATATATGCATTCCGCTGTGCCTCGATACTAACGTGTAGATGGTGTTGCTTCCTCTGCAGAATTGGTCTGATGGAGCAAAGGCACTCGGCGCGACTCGGTGCGACAAGGCAACAATGCGACCGGTGTGCATACAGCACGGATCATCCTGGACATTTGACACGGCACCAGAGAACTCACACAGGGGAGAAACCCTTCAAGTGCAGTGTGTGTGGGAAGGCGTTTGCACTTTCAGCAAATCTTCATGTACACCAGAGAACACACACGGGAGAGAAACCCTTCAAGTGCAGCGTGTGTGGGAAGGCGTTTTCACAGTCATCTACTCTTGTAGCACACCAGAGAACACACACGGGAGAGAAACCCTTCAAGTGCGGTGTGTGTGGGAAGGCGTTTGCACATTCATCTACTCTTGTAGCACACCAGAGAACACACACGGGAGAGAAACCCTTCAAGTGCAGTGTCTGTGGGAAGACGTTTTCAGATTCATCTACTCTTGTAGAACACCAGAGAACACACACGGGAGAGAAACCCTTCAGGTGCACTCCGTGCGGGATAGCGTTTGCACGGTCAGCACATCTTCAAGCACACCAGAGAACACACAAGCATCAGAAGATCCACCAGGAGTGGAGTCTGAAATCAGCTTGTGAAAGTCAAAGTGCTGCAATGAGCCCATCTGTCATCAAACAAGAACCGGAAGAAAATCCCAGCTTGGACACTTTTAAAGGTAACGAGGTGGAATATGAAGAGGTGAAGGTGAAATGTGAAGAAGTGATGGTGAAGAGCGAAGAAGTGAAAGTAAAATGTGAAGATGAAGATTCAACTCCAAAATGGGACCTTCACATGGATGGAGGCAACGTGAAGCAGGAGGAGAATTCTGACTGTGAGGCAGAGCGAGGCAACTCCCAGCAGTTTGTGTGGGTGGACTTCATAGACAATACAAAGTGAAATGGTTACCCGGTAGATGTGTAAGCTTGAGACGATGTCGGTCTAAGCCAGGGGTCCTCAAACTTTTTAAACAGGGGGCCAGTTCACTGTCCCTCAGACCGTTGGAGGGCCGGACTATAGTTTAAAAAAAACTTTGAACAAATTCCTATGCACACTGCATATATCTTATTTTGAAGTGAAGAAACAAAACGGGAATAAATACAATATTTAAAATGAAGAACAAGTAAAGTTAAATCAACAAACTTGCCAGTATTTCAATGGGAACTATGGGCCTGCTTTTGGCTAATGAGATGGTCAATGTCCGGTTCCATATTTGTCACTGCTCGTCGTAACAAGTGATGCAAGTGTGCATCTATTAGTCTAGATCTGGTTGGAGATTTCAAATGTTTCATTCTGGAAAAAGTCTGTTCACAGACATAAGTGCTGCCAAAGATGGTTGCCATTTTGAGTGCATGGTTCCTGAGATGAGGATATGTCTCAGAGGGGAGAGATGCATAGAAATTATGAAGGCTGCTTGACTTGAATGCGTCTTTCAGAGAGTCACAATTCTGCAGTTCAGCCAGTTCCATTTGGTAAATTGTATCCACATTTTCAATGTCAATAGAAAATGGGTTACGGAAAAGCTGTATGTCCTGTTCATGGAGATGAAGCTCTTTAAATCCAAATTGGAACTCCTTTTGCAATTTTTCCAGTGAATCCACACGTTTTGTTTGGGAATGCAACCAATGGTTTTTCCGCTAACAGATTTTGAGTTGTGGGGAGATGGCAGAAGTTTTCCTCCTTCACTTGTTTGATGAGGAGGCCTAATATTACTTCAAATGCTTTGACATGTGATTGCATATAACAGATGAGCTTCCCCTTTCCTTGAAGTTGCACATTGAAACTGTTGAGTAGCTCTGTTACATCTGTCAGAAAGGCAAGGTGCCATTTCCATTCTGCATCATTGAGCTCTGGTACTTCTTTGTTTTTTTAAAGCAGAAAAGCTGTCATAGAAACGTTTCAAAACTCTCCCTCGACTCAGCCAACGGACTTCTGTGTGATACAGAACATCTTCATAGTCAACATTTAGCTCAGACAGAAATGCTTGAAATTGTCTGTGGTTTAGTGCATGAGCTCTAATGAAGTTAACACAAGATACCACAAATTTCATAAGAGTCCCACTTCAGTGATTTACTACACAGCGCTTGTTGGTGGATGAGGCAGTGTATGGCTATTGGATGAGAATGGTTATGTTTGTCCATCTCTTGGTTAATGCGAGCAATTACTCCTTTCTTAGACCCCACCATGCTAGGAGCACCATCAGTTGTCACACTGGCTAGTTTAGCCCAGTTCAGCTCCAAACCATTCACAGTTTGGCAAACCTTTTCATAGATATCCTCTCTTCTTGGTTTTTTTCGGTAAAGTCACGTAGAAGGGAAGTAATAAAATAATAAAAATAAAACATAATAAAATAATTCTCACGACGTTTCGGCCACAACGCAAGCAGCCGTCCTCAGGTGAAAGCCAGGTCTGTCGGGGAGACAGCGTCTGAATGAAACCACACGAGCTTGGAGCATATATAAGCTGGGTTGGAAACGGGGGAAAGAGCGCCTTGACAAATAATTTGTATATCAAGAGGAATTTAGCATATTTATGGGACATGCAGGAATGTTATTAGTAGCACGGGCATATGTAGTACTAATCACATTCCTGCATTTCCCATAAATATGCTAAATTCCTCTTGATATTGAAATTATTTTGTCAAGGCGCTCTTTCCCCCGCTTCCAACAAAGCTTATATATGCTCCAAGCTCGTGTGCTGTTTCATTCAGACGCTGTCTCCCCAACAGACCTGGTTTTCACCTGAGGACGGCTGCTTGCGTTGTGGCCGAAACGTCGTGAGAATTATTTTATTACTTCCCTTCTATGTGACTTTGCCGAAAGAACCAAGAAGATGAGTCCCTGCAGTCACGAAAGCTTTAAATCGAAAGATATCCTCTCCTGTAGTTGTTCCTTTGATGCTTTGCAGTGCAGCAAGCTCTTCTGTGACTTCGAAATAGTCATTCGTCGCACGAATAAAAATTTGAAGTTGTGCAGAATCACGAACATCATTGCTTTCGTCGAGTGCCAAGGAAAAATAGGAAAGTTTTTTGTGGAGTTTTGCAAATGCTGATGCAAATTGTCTCCCATTTCTTCAATCCTCCGTGTAATTGTAGGTCCTAAAAGACTCACTGTACTAAATAAATCGGCCTTCTCTGGACACATCTCTTTGGCAACAGAAAGAAGGCATTCTTTAACAAATTCTCCCTCCACGAATGGTCTGCCAGTGCACGCTATTAGCTTGGAAACTTGAAAACTTGCTCGCAGTGATGAAATATTTAGCTGCTTCTGCTTCACTAAACTATTTCGCTGAGTTGTTAATGTATTTTTCAGTTTTAATATTTTATCTTTTCTCACTTCTCCGACCAAACAAGCATATTTATCTTTATGTTGAGTTTTATAGTGTTGACGTAAATTGTATTCTTTGAACACAGACACTATATTCTGGCATATCAGACACACAGCTCTTTCCTTGTACTGCATGAACAAATAATCATAAGTCCACTGTTCTTTGAATATCCTACACTCCGAGTCAATTTTTCTCTTTCTTGACATCATTGTTTCCTAGGGAGTCAAAATTGCTATTAGTAAAATACCAATATATACAGCGCTACAAAAACAATATACCAGCAATAACTTTGCCCACACAGAGACATACAGACTGCACTGCCCATCAATGCAGTCTGATTGGGGGGAACTCCGCCCCCTCTCCCTCTTCCACCAATGACCGTCCTTCTCATGTAGAAAAAAAGTAACAGACAGGCAGCGGCGGCAAAAACACCCGGCGGGCCGGATAAATGTCCTCGGCGGGCCGCATGTGGCCCGCGGGCCGTAGTTTGAGGACCCCTGGTTTAGACCTTTATGCATGTAGGTGTGTGTGTGCGTGCGTGTGTGCTGCGTCGATGGTGTTGGTTGCACCACACCCTCGTGCCAGCCTTCATTGGTGCACCCTCGCAACACTTGTCCCAAGAGTCGACGCGGGCTTCACGGGCGATCTTTGTCATTGCGTGCGTGTGTATGATAGAGGGCAGCGTGTGTATGATAGGGGCAGCGTGTGTATGATAGGGGCAGTGTGTGTGTGATAGGGGCAGTGTGTGTATGATAGGGGCAGCGTGTGTATGATAGGGGCAGTGTGTGTGTGATAGGGGCAGTGTGTGTATGATAGGGGCAGCGTGTGTATGATAGGGGCAGCGTGGTGTGATAGGGGCAGCGTGTGTGTGATAGGGGCAGCGTGTGTGTGATAGGGGCAGCGTGTGTGTGATAGGGGCAGCGTGTGTGTGATAGGGGCAGTGTGTGTGTGATAGGGGCAGCGTGTGTATGATAGGGGCAGCGTGTGTGTGATAGGGGCAGCGTGTGTGTGATAGGGGCAGCGTGTGTATGATAGGGGCAGCGTGTGTATGATAGGGGCAGCGTGTGTGTGATAGGGGCAGCGTGTGTGTGATAGGGGGCAGCGTGTGTATGATAGGGGCAGCGTGTGTATGATAGGGGCAGCGTGTGTATGATAGGGGCAGCGTGTGTGTGATAGGGGCAGCGTGTGTGTGATAGGGGGCAGCGTGTGTATGATAGGGGCAGCGTGTGTGTGATAGGGGGCAGCGTGTGTATGATAGGGGCAGCGTGTGTGTGATAGGGGGCAGCGTGTGTATGATAGGGGGCAGTGTGTGTGTGATAGGGGCAGCGTGTGTGTGATAGGTGGCAGCGTGTGTATGATAGGGGCAGTGTGTGTATGATGGGGGCAGCGTGTGTGTGATAGGGGGCAGTGTGTGTGTGATAGGGGCAGTGTGTGTATGATGGGGGCAGTGTGTGTATGATAGGGGCAGCGTGTGTATGATAGGGGGCAGTGTGTGTATGATAGGGGGCAGTGTGTGTATGATAGGGGCAGTGTGTGTATGATAGGGGGCAGTGTGTGTATGATAGGGGGCAGTGTGTGTGATAGGGGCAGTGTGTGTGTGATGGGGGCAGTGTGTGTATGATGGGGGCAGTGTGTGTGTGATGGGGGCAGTGTGTGTATGATAGGGGCAGTGTGTGTGTGATAGGGGCAGTGTGTGTATGATGGGGGCAGTGTGTGTATGATAGGGGCAGTGTGTGTATGATAGGGGGCAGTGTGTGTATGATAGGGGGCAGTGTGTGTGATAGGGGCAGTGTGTGTGTGATAGGGGCAGTGTGTGTATGATAGGGGCAGTGTGTGTATGATAGGGGGCAGTGTGTGTATGATAGGGGCAGTGTGTGTATGATAGGGGCAGTGTGTGTATGATAGGGGGCAGTGTGTGTATGATAGGGGGCAGTGTGTGTATGATAGGGGCAGTGTGTGTATGATAGGGGGCAGTGTGTGTATGATAGGGGGCAGTGTGTGTATGATATGATAGGGGCAGTGTGTGTATGATAAGGGGCAGTGTGTGTATGATAGGGGGCAGTGTGTGTGTGATAGGGGCAGTGTGTGTATGATAGGGGCAGCGTGTGTATGATAGGGGGCAGCGTGTGTATGATAGGGGCAGCGTGTGTGTGATAGGGGGCAGTGTGTGTATGATAGGGGCAGCGTGTGTGTGATAGGGGCAGTGTGTGTATGATAGGGGGCAGCGTGTGTATGATAGGGGCAGCGTGTGTGTGATAGGGGGCAGCGTGTGTATGATAGGGGCAGCGTGTGTATGATAGGGGGCAGCGTGTGTATGATAGGGGCAGCGTGTGTATGATAGGGGCAGCGTGGAGCGGAGCGCGCGCGGCTGCGTGGATGGAGAGAGCGGAGGAGGAGGAGCTGGTGGTGGGTCGTGGTGGCTGTGGGCCGCCCACGTGATCCTGGGGGCTCAAGGGTAGAATGCCACGTGGGAATGTTGTGTGAGTCCCAGGGCAAATTGTCCCTGCTGATGCCCCCAATACCCCCCCCCCCCATCTGCACGGCTCTGTGTGGTGGCGAAGTGGAGGTGGTGGACAATCCAGAGGGTGTTGCGTGGATGAAGATTGAGATGAGTAGAGCGTACGGTGTTAGTGACCGTGAAGAGGAGTGAGTGGTGGTGGTAGTTGGGAGTCGTGGTGGTTAACAGTCGACACGAATGAGGCGCGTGATTTGTTTGTTGAAATTCCTTCGCGCCGTACGTTGCCAACCTGCTCACAGGAGGTGCGGGGAAGACGACGCTGCCGATTGATCCTCGCAGCTGCAGGTGAAGGAGATGGTGCTGCACACTCGCGCCGTGCCAGGCCAGCGTGGGGCAGTGGAGCGGGGGTCGGGGTGGGCAGCTTGGAGCGACTGCTGCGGAGGTGGTCGCTGGCTGACGAGGGGTGATTGGGGGGCACTGGGACACGGGGGGCCATGAGAATCTTGGGACCTGCTCCCCCTCCCCCCTCCCACACCCGCGCCGATATCATCCCGCACAGACAATGACAAATGTCAAGAGAGGTACGGGGGGGGAGGGGCGGGTTTGGTCTCGGGGGTCACGACGCCGATCGTGGAGGAGGGGGCAGTGTCTCTGGGGACGCAGGCAACGAGGGCGCGCGCCAAAGACACAAAGACAAAGATCACCCGTGTAGCCTGCACAGGCTGTTGGGGCAAGTGCTGTAGCGAGCACCTATAAGGCCGGAACGGTGGAGGAGGGGGTGGGAGGCCAGCACCACGCCCGGCCGCTTTATCTCCCCAGTGGCGATGTTTACACACCGCACCAGGTACTCATTTGAGGCTGAGTCGACCCGGGGGAGGCGCAGTGCCGGTTCAGGTAATCGTCGCTGGTTTTGGCCGTGAGCGGGAATATAACTCGGGGATCCGGGTTCGTAGTGCAGCGCGCTAACCGCTGCACCACCACTCCTCGCCACACTGACACACACACTGACAGCCTGACACACACACTGACACACACTTTTTAGGACAAAATATATTTAATTACCAATTGCTTAATGGTGCAATGCAATCATCTGACCCATAGGTGGCAGCCATCTCAAGCCAGAGGACTTTAGCCGCCACGCATATAAAGGATTTATAGTGAAAAACTTTGTTTTTACGGGTTATACTTGTTTTTTAGTTGAAGCGTAAATTATAGGAGGCGGCTATTTTATCTCGCTCCGTGTCTCGCTCCGTCGTTATTGCCGATATCAACCGTGTGGCCGGCACGGACGAGGAACGCGAGCAGTGCGGTCCGCGTTGCGCGAGAGATGCCGACGAGAATTGGCAGCAGAAAGAACTCCGATTTGCCACGGCGTCGTCCGGGTTTTGTTTATTCGTTGCTCCTTCGTTCGTTCATCATCAAAATCACACTTTGTGCGTGCAGAACGAGCGCCGCTTGAACCGAGAAGGGGCATTCAAGGGCACGTGGGAGTTGGCGTCTCTGTCACGTGGTACGCGTCACACGGTGTCTGCAACGTGACGAGTTTCTTCCGCTGCTGGAGCTTCCCTTGGCTCGCCCGTCCAAGCTTCAATCTGACGTCGGGACGTTTCCAACAACAACAACACAAAACACTCGGCGAGTCGGCGAGGGAGACGATGAAGGCGAGTTTACAAAGCGCGCTCACCTCATCCATCAGTCACCTGTGTGAGTGCTAGGTGTGTGTGAGTGTTAGGTGTGTGTGAGTGTTAGGTGTGTGTGAGTGTTAGGTGTGTGTGAGTGTTAGGTGTGTGTGAGTGTTAGGTGTGTGTGTTAGGTGTGTGTGAGTGTTAGGTGTGTGTGTGAGTATTAGGTGTGTGTGAGTGTTAGGTGTGTGTAGGAGTCTGTGTGTGTGTGAGTGTTAGGTGTGTGTGAGTGTTAGGTGTGTGTAGGAGTCTGTGTGTGTGTGAGTGTTAGGTGTGTGTGAGTGTTAGGTGTGTGTGAGTGTTAGGTGTGTGTGTTAGGTGTGTGTGAGTGTTAGGTGTGTGTGTGAGTATTAGGTGTGTGTGAGTGTTAGGTGTGTGTAGGAGTCTGTGTGTGTGTGAGTGTTAGGTGTGTGTGAGTGTTAGGTGTGTGTAGGAGTCTGTGTGTGTGTGAGTGTTAGGTGTGTGTGAGTGTTAGGTGTGTGTGAGTGTTAGGTGTGTGTGTTAGGTGTGTGTGAGTGTTAGGTGTGTGTAGGATGTCTGTGTGTGTGTGTGAGTGTTAGGTGTGTGTGAGTGTTAGGTGTGTGTGTTAGGTGTGTGTGAGTGTTAGGTGGTGTGTTAGGTGTGTGTGAGTGTTAGGGTGTGTGTTAGGTGTGTGTGAGTGTTTAGGTGTGTGTGAGTGTTAGGTGGTGTGAGTGTTAGGTGTGTGTTGAGTGTTAGGTGTGTGTTAGGTGTGTGTGAGTGTTAGGTGTGTGTGAGTGTTAGGTGTGTGAGTGTTAGGGGTGTGTGAGTGTTAGGTGTGTGTGTGAGTGTTAGGTGTGTGTGAGTGTTAGGTGTGTGTAGGAGTCTGTGTGTGTGTGAGTGTTAGGTGTGTGTGAGTGTTAGGTGTGTGTAGGAGTCTGTGTGTGTGTGAGTGTTAGGTGTGTGTGAGTGTTAGGTGTGTGTGTTAGGTGTGTTGTGAGTGTTAGGTGTGTGTGAGTGTTAGGTGTGTGTGTTAGGTGTGTGTGAGTGTTAGTGTGTGTTAGGTGTGTGTGAGTGTTAGTTGTGTTGTGAGTGTTAGGGTGTGTTGAGTGTTAGGTGTGTGTGAGTGTTAGGTGTGTGTTAGGTGTGTGTGAGTGTTAGGTGTGTGTGAGTGTTAGGTGTGTGAGTGTTAGGGGGTGTGTGAGTGTTAGGTGTGTGTGTGAGTGTTAGGTGTGTGTGAGTGTGTGGTTAGGTGTGTGTGTGTGTTAGGTGTGTGTGTGTGTTAGGTGTGTGTGAGTGTTAGGTGTGTGTGTGTGTGTTAGGTGTGTGTGTGTGTGAGTGTTAGGTGTGTGAGTGTTAGGTGTGAGTGAGTGTAGGGTGTGTGTGTGTTAGGTGTGGGTGTTAGGTGGTGTGAGTGTCTGTGTGTGTGAGGTTTAGGTGTGTGTGAGTGTTAGGTGTGTGTGTAGTGTTAGGGTGTGTGAGTGTTAGGTGGTGTGAGTGTTAGGTGTGTGTGAGTTTAGGTGTGTGTGTAGGTTGTGTGTGTGTGAGGTTGTGTGTGTGAGTGTTAGGGTGGTGTAGGTGTGTGTGAGTGTTAGGTGTGTGTGAGTGTTAGGTGTGTGTGAGTGTTAGGTGTGTGTGAGTGTTAGGTGTGTGTGTGTTAGGTGTGTGTGAGTGTTAGGTGTGTGTGTGTTAGGTGGGTGTGAGTGTTAGGTGTGTGTGAGTGTTAGGTGTGTGTGAGTGTTAGGTGTGTGTGAGTGTTAGGTGTGTGTGAGTGTTAGGTGTGTGTGAGTGTTAGGTGTGTGAGTGTTAGGTGTGAGTGAGTGTTAGGTGTGAGTGTTAGGTGGTGTGTGTTAGGTGTGTGTGAGTGTTAGGTGTGTGTGAGTGTTAGGTGTGAGTGAGTGTTAGGTGTGAGTGTTAGGTGTGTGAGTGTTAGGTGTGTGTGAGTGTTAGGTGTGTGTGAGTGTTATGTGTGAGTGTTATGTGTGAGTGTTAGGTGTGTGTGAGTGTTAGGTGTGTGTGAGTGTTATGTGTGAGTGTTAGGTGTGTGTGAGTGTTAGGTGTGTGTGAGTGTTAGGTGTGTGTGAGTGTGTAGGTGTGTGTGAGTGTTAGGTGTGTGAGTGTTAGGTGTGTGAGTGTTAGGGTGTGTGAGTGTTAGGTGTGTGTGTAGGTGTAGGAGTGTGTGTGTGAGTGTTAGGTGTGTGTGAGTGTTAGGTGTGTGTAGGAGTCTGTGTGTGTGAGTTAGGTGTGTGTGTTAGGTGTGTGTAGGAGTCTGTGTGTGAGTGTTAGGTGTGTGTGAGTGTTAGGTGTGTGTGAGTGTTAGGTGTGTGTGAGTGTTAGGTGTGTGAGTGTTAGGTGTGTGTGAGTGAGTGTTAGGTGTGTGTAGGAGTCTGTGTGTGTGTGTTAGGTGTGTGTGAGTGTTAGGTGTGTGTGAGTGTTAGGTGTGTGAGTGTTAGGTGTGTGTAGGTGTGTGAGTGGTAGGTGTGTGTGTGTGTAGGTGTGTGTTTAGGTGTGTGTGAGTGTGAGTGTTAGGTACTTTGTTGTTTGCGATCCAGAACAGAACATCCCGGTTGACACATATGGAGGCACTCATTACCACACGGCGATTCGCTCAGCTACCCCGACGCAAACATCTGCGCTCAATCCACCACAGCGTCAAAGTGATACTCGCCTGTGCTCCGTCAATATCAACCCGTGTACGAAGGCAAAATAACATATTTCTATCGCGCCACGTTGGATAAAAAACACACCGTCAGAAAAGATCGTGTTAACGGTTCAAAGAGAGTTTTTTTTTATTGTCAAAACTTGTTTAAACAAATCATACTGTAGCTATTCCAGGGAATTGCACATTCGAATTGAACGTTCTCATGCGCTGTATGCACCTGGTACCAGTTACATGAAAGGCAGTGATTGCTACAAAATATAAAGCACATTGCAAAACGTACAGGTGGTTTTGGGCTCCGTATGCACACTCAACATTGGATATATTTTTTCCGAGTGGTTTATCCAGAAAAACAATTCCTCAAATTGTACTTTAAAGGTTTTTGGCTTTTAATCAAAGCTCAATAATATCAACAGCCCTTGTTCAATCCACTCCAAGATGCAGGCAGTGACCAGACGGGTACTTCACCAGTGGTCAGCGCCCAAACAATCAGCAGTTCGGATGTCACCCTCAAACTCGGGTTTCTGAATCCACAGCACAATCACGTTCCTTCACAGTGGCCAGCTAGGAACTTGGTTGGGCAGAAAGCTCGCGGTCACGTGACGCACTTCAACCAATCGGGGAGCGTGCTACGCGGTGGGAGGGGCTATGCACGACAGACAAATAATCCCTGGTGGGCGGTGGGGAACTGTTGTTCCTACCTGTAACAAAAAATTAACCCGTAAAAACAAAGTTTTTCACTATAAATCCTTTATATGCGTGGCGGCTAGAGTCCTCTCGTCCTCTGGCTTGAGATGGCTGCCACCTATGGGTCAGATGATTGCCTGCCACCATTAAGCAATTGGTAATAAATATAAATAAAAAAATTCCCTAAACAGTGTAAAATTTGGAACAAAATGTTTTCACGAAAATAAATTGTCACGCACAACGAGTCTGTGTGCAAAATGTCAGCTCGATTGGATGACGGGAAGTGGCCGTTTAAAAAACGACCGAAAGATTTGCACGGTCCTAAGCAAGCAAGCAAGTGAACTTAATATAAAGGATTTAAAAAACCCACTGCATATATACGCTTAA